CCTCCTGCCCCTCAGTGCTGTCCCTTCTTGTCCTCAGTGCTGTCCCCTCCTGTCCCTCAGTGCTGTCCCTTCCTGTCCTCAGTGCTGTCCCCTCCTGTGCCCGGTGGCACTGTCCCACTCCGTGTGGCTCCTCTCGTGTCCCCACCTTGCATTCTCTGCCTGCCTGGGCGGTTGGACCCTGGTTCCCCATCCTGGGGCTGCTGGGCCATGGGAACAGAGCCCCCCGAGGTTCTGGGGGCCTCCCTGGCTCCTGCCTACGGGCGATGCCCACCCAGCACTGCGGGCTGGCTCCGCTCTCGCTGGATCACGGGCACCGTGCCCACTGGGGTCACCTGGGGAGTCACAGGGTGCTCGAGGCTTTGGGGGGTGCTGGGGACCGAGGACACTCGTGGCTCGTCCCTTCCGAGCCGTGGTATGTCCCAGTGCCACTGGGGAGCCACAGTGGCTCCCTCCTTGGGTTGGCACGGTGGCACCTGGCTGCTGCTGCGATGGATTCGCTGTGAGTGGAGGAGCAGTTTCCTCTGGATGCTGAAGGCCCAGAGGGAAGGTGCCCTCAGTCTCCCAGGCTCAGACAATGTCCCCAGTCCTCATTCCCACAGGAGGTGACAAACAGGCCCAGGGTGATGAGTGACAGAGGACAAACAGAGCTGAGGCTTTTCCTTTTTGGAAAAGTTTCCGGCAGCCGAAAGGGTTAATCCCGTGCTGGGACGTTTCAGGCCCGAGCTGCCTGTCCCGATGATCGCTGATCGCTGCCGTGCTGGTGCCAGGGGCAGGGGAAGCCGGGCAGTGTCACCTGGGCGGGTGCGGGGCGGGGGAGCCGCTGCTGGGAGAACAATGCTGGCACGGGAGCGAGCGGGGACGGCGCAGGAACAGCCCGGGAGCCAGCGGGGCTCCGGGAGCCCCCCGGCACGGGGAGGGAATGGCAGCGATGCCAGGGCACCGGGCACGTCCTGCCACCGGCGACGGTGGGTGCTTGTCCCTGTGTGCTCCACCTGTGTGCCAGTGCCGGTGCCAGGGCTGGTGGCAGTGCTGGTGCCAGAGCTGGTGGCAGTCCTGGTGCCAGAGCTGGTGGCAGTGCTGGTGGCGGTGCTGGTGCCAGAGCTGGCCCTTTGGCCGGCAGCTCCCAGTGCCAGGAGAGCAGAGCTGGCGTGGCCAGCCCTGGGCACTGCCAGGAGGCCAGGGAAGCCCCTACGGACGTGAGATACTAAAAATATCCTCTGTGAGGAGAGCCCGCTGTGCCAGGGGTACCGGGGCAAGCTGGGGGGAGCTGGCACATGCCAGGAGCACCGTGGCAGGCTGGGGTAGCTGGCACATGCCATGGGCACCAGGCTGGCTCTGTGAATGCCTGTTGTGGGTCCCCGGCACCCCATGCCCAGGGTGGCATGTGGCCAGAGAAGCTGAACACTCACTTTGCCCTGTGCCTGGTCAGGGGTGTGAGAGGGCACAGGGAGCTGGCAGGGGGCTGGGTGGTCACAGCCCTCTGGGGACGGGTGTCACGGTGCCAGTGAGCTGTGCCAGGCCATGCCGAGCTGTGCCAGGCTGTGCCAGCCTGTCCTGTGGTGTGCCATGCCATGCTGAGCCATGCAGTGCCATGCCGTGGCCCCAAGACCAGTGTCCCCAGTCCCAGCTGCGCCTGGCAGAGGGACGCCCCTCAGCAGGGTGGCTCTGTGGGTGATGCCACGGGCGACTGGGGCACCTTGCCCGGGCTGGGGTGGGCACGAGAGTCCCCAGGTGGCGACCCCCGTCATCCCTCTTGGGGAGTGTCCCCAGTGTCCCCAGTGTCCCCAGGGCGGTGGGGAGGCACGGGGCGGTGCAGCCCCGCGGGCTCCCGGCAGAGCAGCCTCCTTGGCGGGGGCCCAGTGCAGGGGAGGGAGCAGCAGAAAGGCAGCACTTGTTCCTTGTTCCCAGGCCCGGCAGCCAGAGGAAGCGGGTGGGAGGGAGGGCAGGAAGGCCCTGAGAAGGGACAGGGACAGCACCGGAGCAGCCGGGAAAGGGACAGGCCACGGGGTGAGCCCTGCTGTCCCCTTGTCCTGCTGTCCCCTTGTCCTGCTGTCCCTGCCCCGTCTGAGTGGCAGCACCAGGACGTGCTGGTCCTGGTGGCACGGGGGGCCTGGTGGGCTGGGCTCAGGTAGGGAAGTTGGGGTGCCAGGTTTGGCCAGGGCAGCTGTGGAGGGGCTGGCAGGGGGTTGGCTGGGTGGGACGGATGGGGGCTGTGCCAGGGCTGGGTGGGCTGTGTGTCCCTGTCCTGGCAGGACGTCACGGGAGGGGGCACAGTGCCCGTCCTGTCCCACTGTCAGCCCCCCAGGACCCTCCTGCCCGGCACAGCTCCTTGGCATTGTCGGGCTGCACTGCAGGCCCAGCAGTGACCGTCAGTCCGGTGCCACTGCCCGAGCCTGGCAGCACCAAAGGGAGCCTGTGCCCCCCAGGGCTATCCCAGCCGGGGGCTGGGGTCAGTTCCTGCAGCCCCCTGAACCCCACAGCTCCCCAGAGCCCTGCAGGCACCCCGAGTGTCCCCCAGGCCCCAAACCCCGCAGCCCCTGTGCCTGCTCTGGAGCACAGCTCCAGGACCTTCCCATTTCCTTCCCCTCCCGTTTCCTTCCCCTCCCGTTTCCTTCCCTTCCTGGGAAGCCCCACAGCCCCTGTGATTGTTCTCGGCCCCAGGCAGAGGCTGGAGGGGGGCCAGGGGTGCCAGGACCCCGTCAGGGATGGCACTCGGGGCTCCCTCAGGGCGAGCTGGGGACGCTGCCAGGCCAGGGACTGGCTTGCAGTACGTCCTGCTTGCCATGGGACTGGCAAGGACTTGACTCCCTGGCATCCATCCTGCCCTGGTCCCAGCTCCCTGCTCTGCTCCCAGGCCACACTGTGGTGTCCCCATGGTGGCCGTGTGGCCTTCCCGGGGCTGGGCACACCAAGGTCTGGCCTTGGGGCTCTGACAGCCCCAGCTGTGCTCTCGTTCATGGACTGGCACAGCACTCTGATGGCACCGGTGTCTGCTCGGGGCACCGTGCCCTCCTCTGGGGCAGCCAGGATGGGAAGAGGCCACAGCAGTGACCCTGAGTCCCACCAGCCCCTTCCCTTCCCTTCCCTTCCCTTCCCTTCCCTTCCCTTCCCTTCCC